GAGCCGGTGAGATTTGAACCGCTGAACTGCAGATAACAGTCAGCTGAAGTGGCCTGCAGTACTGCACCCTAACCACTGCGCCACCTCAGCTCTTAGGAAGATCTAATGGAAATAGTAACTGTCCAACTGTGTGTTTCTTTCTAATTTAGAAAAAAATATTGAAGAAAAAAGGATGAGCTATGGTTAGAATACAGCACTGCAGGCTAATTCTGTTGACTGCAAGGCATTGGATCTTGACCGGCACAAGCCTTCCACCCTTCTGAGGTCGGTAAAATGAGACCCACAGAGTGTTGGGGGGCAAAATGTTGACTATGTAAACTACTTAGGGAGGGCTGTAAAGCCCTGTGAAGCGGTATATAAGTCTAAGCGCTATTGCTATACTCTGTTGATTGTGCTGGCCCTTTTGAGGACATTCAGTACTGTTGATCTGGTCTCCTTCTAAGGCAGTCAGCTAGATCAGAACATTGGGGGGGGGATTGCTCTGCAGTTAGTTGACTATTTTCTGATGCTGCTGAGGCACAGTAACTCATATTTGGCCCATTGGTTTCTGAGGTATGTTTTAAACTTCTACATGAAACCATTCTGAAAGTTAATCTGATGCTTTGCCTCATCACATGAGAATGACGCTAGGCCAGTGTTTCTCAACCTTGGAGACTTGAGCTCTGCTGGCTGGGGGATTCTGGGAGTTGACGTCCACAGGACTTCAAGTCTCCAAGGTTGAGAAACACTGCACTAGGCTCTATATATTTTCAACTCATGGCCAGGAGTATGGAAATCTTGAAGGAGTGACTAGGGGAAAAAAAGGATAGCTTGGTTATTCATTAACAAATGACTATGAGATGTTAAACTGGTCGGAACATGGGTAAGAGAGTCTTCTGCAGTAGAATCTTCTACCAGAAGAATGGTCTTTCAAGAGGGTTTTACATTGTCTTCTTCCTCTCCTTGTCTTTTGTTGAGCAATAAGGATATTTGGATATTTTTTTATATTTCTTAACTCTTGGCTTGCTTTTGTTATGTTCTTCCAAGAACTGTATGCAGGGCCGGATTTAGATGAAAAGAGGCCCTAGGCTATTCCACTTAAGAGGCCCTTTCACCTCCCATTTTTAAGTTTG